GAGATGGCGTCTCGGTCTGTTGCCAGGCTAGAGTACAGTGGTGCAATCTCAGCTCACTGCAACCTCTGCCTCCCAGGTTCAAGCAATTCTCCTGCCTCAGCCTCCTGGGTAGCTGGGACTACAGGCGTGTGCCACCACACTCAGCTAATTTTTGTATTTTTAGTAGAGATGGGGTTTCACCATGTTGGCCAGGATGGTTTCACTCTTTTGACCTCAGGTGATCCCCCCAGCTCAGCCTCCCAAAGTGCTGGGATTACAGGTGTGAGCCACTGTGCCCAGCCTGTTAGTGTATTTTATGTGCGGCCCAAGACAATTCTTCCAATTGGCCCATGGAAGCCAAAAGATTGGACATTCCTGATTTAGTTTCTCCTACCCCTTTTGGGGGAAACAGTAGAAGGCAGTCACCTATGTTTATGTTTTGATTTATCTTACACCAAAACTTATTTTTGGCAAAGTCAAAATAGTATAGGTCTGTGTTTACTTTTATGAAGTATTTTTAAAGCCTCTTTATCCATCTCTGCATTCCCAAATGATTGTAGCTACGTGTTAAATTGTATCATCCTGTAGCTAGATTTTTTAACATAAAATTATGAAAAAGTTCTATCTAGAAATTGATTTGTTGCCTATAGTACATGGGGGAATTGATTTTACTTTATCCTTTATCATTTCTATTTGAGTATGGCTCAGTGGTTCTCAACTAGGGTTTGGGGGGACAGTTTTGTTTCCAATGTCTGGTTTTTACTACTAGATGGGGGTGGGGCATTGGCATCAAGTGAGTAGAGGTCAGGGTTGCTGCCAAGCATTCCACAGTGCTCTGGTTCATCCCAGTACAATGTAAGTCACTGGTCTGACATGACTAAATGATTGCCTACTTAGAGTATGATTGAAGAAACAGATACATGAAAAGGACTAAAAGAGTTGTATTTGTGTGCTTTCATAAACTGGCATTCCACCAGGTAATATAAGCTCAGTAAAGTAAATATTACGTTAATATCTGTTCCTTGAGAGTGAAGACAACTCAAGGTCTTTATAGTGCTCTGATACACTGAACTGGATGACCTGCATGTTGTGGCCAAGGTTGTATTCCTACATGTCACCTTGTTAATGTAGTAAAACAGTTCTTAACTGGGCAGTCATTCTAATTTGCCTGCATGCTAGGAGAAATTCCCCCTTTTT